GAGAGTGCTCAGGTGAGTATAAGACTTTGTGGGGTGCTGTGAGGGGAGGAGGGGGATAAATTAAAAGATAACCATACTAAAGTATTGTTACTTTTATCCAATACTGCCTCTGTTAATCACATGTATTTTCAAATCTGTAAAAAATGTATTCATTGGTACATTTTGTTTAGTGTAGTACATTTTATTTCTTCATAGGTGTCCCTTATAGTCTACAGTTCTATTCCTAGATTTCATTCTCTCTTTGTCATGGCAGCTATCCCTGAGGAACAGTCTCAGGACCTCACATGAACTTATACACTCCAAGATGTTAATCTGAATCCTGAAGTGTTTTAGAGTAAATAGCATTGTAGTAAGAAAGTAAAGATCTTTTTTTTCTGTACATTTAATTTTCTCTGCTTCCCCGTGTAAACACTGATGACATTTTTTTTCTACCCCAATCAATGGCCTGACATGAACATAGAGAAGCCTATTCTAGTGGGATCTTTTATTAAGCCATTCTTCCACCTCTGAGCTGCCTAAATTTGTGTGGCAAATACATAATCATGTGCCAAATACCAGATTAGCTGTAGCTTGTCAGCAAAAAAGAATTGCAGGGAGGGGACGACGGAATGTGTAAAGAAATATTTGGGATTAATGAAAAGCCGCCAAGGTTCTCCATGAGAGTCTTGAAAACTATACTATTTTCTCCTGAGGTGAAATCCCTTCATTCTCTTCTTGGATGTGCTTGGCCAATACACAGCACTTGAGTGCTTAACATGCTGGGAGACTCTGAGTCTGAAGTTTCAGAGAGTGAAGTGCTTTTGGGAATTTGGTAATGAGAAGTGAAGTGTCTGTCCTGCTTGTCTGTATTGTGTCAAATTTTCTGCTTTATTTTCCAGCATCTGGCTTCTTTTGACCATTTTGTTTAGAAAAGAATTGCAGAGCTATCTTTATAGGCAAGTACGTCCTTTCTTCATTGTCAAAGACATGTATATTGTACGGCCCTAATTGGGATTGAATGGGGAAAACAATGTAGACCTCAACAACTGTACAGGGTCATTTCATACAGAGCAGACATTTCAGCTTTTGGTAGATGCTAGCTAGTTGAATTCTTCTATCTTTGAAGGACTCGAGGCAATGAAAGATTTGCACCTGAGTTCTCATACCACCATCTGTCCAGTCAAATCCAGCGCATTAGAAGAGTGCAGGCATGTTCTCCAAGGTGCTACCATATTAACTGTCTGGTACATGCAATGTTTGAAAAAAGACTGTATGACTATTCCTAACCAGCTCATACTCTACGCTCTAATTATTATATAATAAAAATGACAAAAATTTAATTAAAAAAGCACAGTTGACCAGAGAAAGAAGACACATACTATTTTATATATGAAAATGCATAAGCTAGCCCCTCTTTGATGAAGGTGATGTTCCAGGACCTTCTCCTCGAATGCTGGAAAAGCTGAGGATCCAAAGTCCCACAAGAATGAGCTGGTACCAGGGGCGGACTGACCATTTGGAAAGTTGGGCACTGCCCGAGGGCCCGGGGTCAGTAGGGGGCCCCATGAGATGCTCCTGGCACCTTTTTCATAGCCTTTTTTGAGTTTGGGCAAGGACACAGGGGCCCCATGATCCCCTATCGCTCAGGGGCCCCATGAGTTGTCAGTCCGCCCCTGGCTGGTACAGAAGGACTTTATTGTTTTATAGTTCTGATGAAGAGAGGGTACCCTCGAAACACACCAGCTGTTGTGAATCCAGGACAGCGATTCTGTTGGCACTGGGGTCATTTGGGTCTTCACATCTATTGTGCCATGAATGTTGGTTTCACATGCCATATATTACATGTGTTTCCAAGTATGTTTTTAGCCTTTCATACTACCAGTAAACCCATGAGAATAATGCACTAGACTGGTGTGCCTTTCTATCTTTTCTTTGAATCAAACAGCCATGCCTTCTTACTGCTGCTTACTGCAGGCAGTGCCAGAATATCATTAATATACAAATACAACAATGTCTCTATCCTCATAATCATCATCATCATTTCTCCTGGAGTTTCCAAACTGCTAAAGTTACTAAATCTTGCTTTGGCATGTGGTGTTGCTGCATCCCAGGGTATATAAAAAATTAAATTCTTTATTGTTATTACACTCTCTCTCTCTCGATCTAAGACTTGTTGACCTTTTCTGTGATGTTACTGAACTTTGTAAAAATAACTTATAAACAGATTTTTAATATTTTAACTGCCAATTTCCCAGCCTGATATTGTCAGTGGTCACAGTTCATTATGAAAGTTCATCACGAAATTTTTTGTGATGGTTCTACACCCCCTTGAAGAATATTGTGAACATTCCTGTCTGGTCCAAGTCGAATTTCCATGATGTTTTAGGTGTCGCTGGACCACCCTGGAAAAAATAACATAAGATTTTAGTTTTTAGTTCATCATGAGCCACCCTGACCAGATCAAGATGTTGATGGAAGTATTAGTAAAAACTGTAGAATATTTATTTGCTTTCAGTAAATCTTCATCATCTTCACATGCTAATAAGGAGCCTCAGCAAAACAATTTCCCCACTATTTTATTTATTTTTACATTTTTATATTTTAGTATTTATAATTGGACATACTGTATTTGTCTTGAAGACAAATAGAGATGAAAAAAAACTGTTAGCTCTTAGTAAAATATTGTTGAGATTTGATTTTACTTCTAGGCACTTAACCTTTGCTTAAGAGGTTTTGAAAGGATAAATAGACAACTTTAAAGTCCAAGTGAAGACATTGTACTATCCATCTACAGTTACATAGTCTTCTGTCCACTTTCCTGTTACAGCAGTTGGGAAGGTTTTCTAAATATGACAATGGGAACTCGAGTATAGCCTGGTACACACTAGCAGTTTTCTTCATTCAACCCAGCAGGCTGAACCAAAAAATCTGCAGAGCTTGGGAGGAGCCGCTGTGCTAACAATCCAATGTTAACTAACAATCCAATGTTAGTACAGCGGTCTCCCACACTGAGCTATTGTGTTCTGATAGGGGGATGGACCCCTGCCAGAACACACTGGTCAGCGATCTCAGCCATTGGCTGAGAGGGCTGATCTGGAGCTGATCGGCAGACTTTTTTCGGTCATGCCCCTTCGACAGAAGCCAGCTGAAAGCCTGGCTTATGTCGGACCTGCCGTCGTGCACACAGGCCAAATATCGTTCATTTTTTATTGAACCTGCCAATGCCGCCCGACAATCGGCCTGTGTGTACTAGGCTTTAGTTCCAGTTCTCTCTGTAACAGGCTCTGAGTAACAATTCTTTACAATTCAGGACCCCCTCTCTACAATGAGGACCCCCTGTTGTGAGCTATGTGGCCATTACTCAGCTACGTATATTTGAAAGCATTTATGAGAACAATCAATCACAAAAATAATATACTGAATTATAAGAAAATAAAAATAAGTGAGACTCCAAATGGTCTTTATCTGAAAATAGTCTCAGTTCACAAAGAGCCCCGACAGAAAAATACAATAGTTTTTTTCTCTGGCATTTCTACACAGAATATACTGTATAATGTTTGGGCCACAAAAAAAAAAGACTTTCCCAAATGGGACCGTTGCCCCACCTTACCCCATTTCTTTCTTTAAAGTGTAATGACAGGCAAAAAAAAAATTACATATAATATTAAGCTTTTCACTTGTGTACCACCCTGCTATAAATGTTTGATGCAGGATGTTGAAACCAACACAAGATGGCAGTGTCCTCCAGAACAGTGGCGTTCACACATTGAAGAACAGGTCTATGGAAATTGTATGCTGAATCGCAGGGCTTTGCTGAGAAGCATTGCAATTGGAAACTACATTTTCCAGAGGAGCTGGCGTGTGGGTTGGGGCATAGGTATATCAAAGCCCAGAAGACTGGACAGGAAGTGAGAAGGGAGAGATCTAGAGAGAGGAGTGTGTTGATCACCTGAGAACTGGACCAGCCACGGGAGGAGAGAGAAGATAGGCAAGGAGAATCTGCTGATCGCTGACCTTACCACTTGATCTAGAGAGCTGATCTGCCAGCAGCTGACCGGAAGTAACGCTGTAGGTGAGACCGGAGAGAGAGAGAGAGAGTTGGCCCGATCTGGAGAAAGAGTGCAAGGATCTGTCAGAGGCCATTCTTCGGGTGAGAGAGTGCCAGGCCTTGCCTACGGAAAGAACACTGACACTTGCTCCATAGTTGCTATTTCCTCCACACAGTTGCGGACATCGCATATAATCACTATAAGTTGTGGCCTAGTTCCTCCAGCTGCTATTGCTTAACCACACTTGCCACAGCCTTGACACCAGCACTCATAGCAGAACAGCCATCCAGCAGGCCAAGCCCCATCTGTGTCACAGTCATCATCAATTTACCCTTTTAAAGAGACCTTTTCAAATTGTGCCAATAGTCTTGCAGTCCAGAGAGGAACTACCCTGTATCAACAACCACGTCTGCCAGCTCAACATCCTTTTTTCAAATCTACTAGTGACCAGTGCATTTAAAGGGACATTACACCAGTCCACTGCCACTTTCAGGGGGAGTGCTGTTCCTTCTTTGCTTTATTGCATTGTTCTTTAGAGAATCACTATGCATACTTCTTCCCATTGTGAACCAACTGGGCCCCATCTCGCACGCAAAAGACTCTTCACTGCACTTAAAGGGTCATTGGTTACTTTAGGGGTAAAGAGCTTTTTTATTTTAGGCTAAATCCCTGCCATCAGGTCCTGAGGGCCCAAAGTGAGCTAGAGCTGCCTATTTTGATAGTTCTTGCTGCTCATTGGGGACTATAAAGTCACGTCAGGTTGAAGGTTTAGGGTTAGTTTCTGAAAAGCAGGCCTGCTAACACTATTTGTGGTTCTGTTATAGTTTTGTCTTTTCTTTGTTTAACCACCTTCAGCCCACCCTATAGTACAAAGACGGGCGCAAGGTGGTTCTCTCACTCTGATAGGACGTCGTATGACGTCCTACCATTCTCACTGCGCATGCGCGGCTCAGGGAGAGCTGTGATCGCTGGTGTGCTGTGTCCCTCGGACACAGCGGATCACGGAAAGAGCTGAAGATGTCAGCTCGGTCATGTGATCAGCTGTGTCCAATCACAGCTGGTCACATGTAAACACGGAAATGCCGGTTATCGGCATTTCTCTCCTCTCGAGCTGTCATGCTGACAGCTCGAGAGGAGAGAGCGGGTAATCAGCTTTCCGCGGAGGGGACATGTACACTGATCATCAGGGCACTGATGATCAGTGTGCCCTGATGATCAGTGTGGCCCCAGACGTGCCACCTGTCAGTGCTCATCAGTGCCACGTGCCAGTGCCCATCAGTGCCATGTGCCAGTGCCCATCAGTGCCACATCAATGCCACATATCAGTGCATACCAGTGCACATCAATGCCACATATCAGTGCCCATCTGAGCTGGCTTTCAATGTCACCCATTAGTGCCAGTCAGTGCCACCTATCAATGCCAATCAGTACCACCTATCAGTGCTACCAATCAGTGCCACCTATTAGTGCCAGTCAGTGTCGCCTATCAGTGCGCATCAGTGCCAGTCAGTGCCGCCTATCAGCTGCTCAGTGCCTATCAGTGCCATGTATCAGTGCTGCCTTTCAGTGCCCATCAGTGATGCCTGTCAATGCCCATCACTGCAACCTACCAGTGCCTCCTCATCAGTGCCCATCAGTGCCACCTATCAGTGTCCATCAGTGCAGCCTATCAGTGCCCATCACTGCAGCCTCATTAGCGCACATCAGTGAAGGAGAAAAATCACTTATTTACAAAATTGTATAACAAAAACTAAAAAAAACTTTTTTTTTTTTTTCAAAATTTTCAGTGGTTTTTGGTTTGTTTAAGAAAAAATAAAAATCCCAGAGGTGACTAAATACCACCAAAATAAAGCTCTGTCTGTCTCAAAAAAATGATAAAAATTTCATATGGGTACAGTGTTGCATGACCGTGCAATTGTCATTCAAAATGTGAGAGCGCTGAAAGCTGGAAATTGGCCTGGGCAGGAAGGGGGTATAAGTGCCCTGTAGGCTAGTGGTTAAAATTGACACAAGTAACAACTGACTCTGCATATGCTGATCTTGTTAGTACGGTGTAACCAAGCTACTTTGGAATCTGCTATAAACCTCTTACCAGTTTTTTTCTCCAATCAGTGTGTGATTTTACTTCCTGGTGGTAATTTCATCAGGTTAAGAGTGTACTGTGGTGTCAGCAGGGGTCGGGTTTTCAGAGAGGGGTCCAGAGCAACAGGGAGCCCAAAAATAATCCAGCAACTCCTAAGGGGGTAGTGCTACACTAGCATTAATGCAGAATTATTTTAGCCCAACCCTTCTTATATACACTTTTATTTTACCTTGTTAATCCTAACAGTTGATCCTTCATGTTTCCACTTCCTATAACAGTGAGACAATGCTGTTCATTCTGCAGCAGGGGCGGACTGACAACTCATGGGGCCCCCGGGCAATAGGGGATCATGGGGCCCCTGAGTCCTTGCCCAAACTCAAAAAAGCCTATGAAAAAGGTACCAGGGGCATCTCATGGGGCCCCCTACTAACCCCGGGCCCTAGGGCAGTGCCCGAGTTTCCCAATGGTCAATCCACCCCTGTTCTGCAGTGACGATGTATAGCTGATGTTGTCACCTTGTGGACAGGGTAGTGTTCTATGGACATGTAGTCTTATCAATACTGCTTTCTCTTTCTATTATAACTACACTCTATAATACAGACACCCAATGCAGACATACCTTCAGTTTTGCTTACACTACCACTGCAGTTCTCTTCCATCCTGTCCTTGAATCTGCCATAGAAATGGAGGAGTCTGTATCCAGAGACATTTTGGTCTCTTTTGTCTATATGGAAGATGTGACACTTGTGTTATAACAGTTGGGGTAGTATATCAGGGATATAGACTACACTATGGCACTGGGATGGCAAGGGCTTTTAACTACAGGTGCGACTAAGCACAGGTGCGCTTCTGCCTGTTTTTGCACATTCCCACGTGTCATGTGTAGGGCAGTCCATCATTGAATTTGGGTTTTGCGCACTTGAAAACACACAAATTTGGAGATTCATGGGGGTGATATTAACTATTAATGGCAATGTTGAGTTTTTGATAAGTGGAAGTGTTTATATGTGTCAGGAAAGGATACGATTTTGCGCATGCTTGCGGACACAAAAATCTGAACCTTGGTTTAGGGTGTGTATGTACATGGAGTCTGTAATCTATAGCATGGGAGTGATGAGGAAGGCAAGGGGGTGGTATAGGGAATTGGTATTTTTTTGTAAAATGTTGTAAGACAAACCAGATTCCCAGGAGCAGAAAACCAGTATGGACTGTTGCTCATCCTCCTGGGCGAATATGCTGTGATGGCTCCACACGTGCGCATATACATATAGCAATTGGCGTGCACACTTGGTGCCCAGCAACCTATTTAAATGGACGTATCACTTGGAGAAGTTGCTGAATGGACTTCAGCTTGTTCCATGTGTCTTGAGATCTGATCAGTTGTGTTCACCTACCTGTGCATGACCCTGCTTCCTGCCAAACTTGCTCACCTGTTTCTCTGACCTCAGCCTGTTTTCTAAGCTTGTCTCTGCTTGCTGCTTTTGTACTGTTTTGCTTGTCTGTTACTGGCCTTTGGCCTGCTTCCTGAACTTGTTCTGCCTGTCAATTCGATCCCTTGCTGCCTGGCTGTCACTGACTACCGTTTACCATCTGCTTTCTGGCCCTGCTATCATCTGCTGCTCTTGTGCCAAGCTGCTTCAGTATCCTGTCCTGAGGACTGCACCATCCAGCTCTACCTACCTAAAGACCATATACCACCAGCCAGCTACTCCAGCACCTATACCACTCCATGCTCCCACACTGTCTCCACCTTCAGGAGTGTTGGATATGAGACGCAAGCAGGGGGCGGACTGACCATTTGGAAACTATGGCACTGCCCGAGGGCCCGGGGTCAGTAGGGGGACCCATGAGATGCCCCTGGTACCTTTTTCATAGGCTTTTTTGAGTTTGGGCAGGACACAGAGGCCCCATGATCCCCTATTGCTCAGGGGCCCCATGAGTTGTCAGTCTGCCTCTGGGCGCAAGAGAGGCCTCCAGAATGTTCCAGTCTTCACCAGGTATGTAATAAGTCTACTGATTCTTTAAGTTTCAGCAAAAAGCGATACATTACTACAAATGTCTCTTTCAGACACTGTCTCTCTAGACTGCATATGTGAGAAAAATCCTCCCATATATAAAGTGGCAGTTCTTGGTTTGGTTTGTTAGTGTAAACACTTTAGGAACAAGTAGGAGCTGTAGAGTTTGGCTGGGAAAATAGAAGTGTACATAATATTACTGAAACTCGGCTGCCCACTTTAGTGTCTATGGCACGGTACATTTAACATTCTGTCCATGGCCCCCATTCTGAAAAGCTGCTGTGCATCTGTCATCCTGTCCACATTAAGCCATGTTCCTCAGTTCCTATGAGAAGGCTATAATATCTCCATTCAGCTAGAAGAATTGTTTTTTCTCTGACGTGGCCTCAAGCTCATTGTCAGAGATGGTGTCATGGGAAACACAAGTCCGGCAAGGGGACATCTTAATTCTGTGCTGAAAGGAATAGGCATGGCAGTTGCAAGACACAGCAAATCATGAAAACATTAGGCCATGCTAGTTGTTTGTAGTGGCTGTGCTACTACAGTTGAACTGCAAGAGATAGTATGATCTAACCCACATGTAGCAATGCACTAACTGAGAAACTAAATGATGTGGACAGCAGCCCCCCTTATCACTAACCATATGACTAAAGCCATAGTACTATACATATATTTTAATTTAAAAACAAATAATTTTTTACTTTCCTACTGCCCCCCCCCCACAGCGGAAGTGCAAAATCACGTTTATAAACATGATTTTGCACAGAACATCCTCTCTGTAGCAGTAAGTCTGCTATAGGATGGACTAAAAGTGGTTAACAACAATAGTGAGGTAGAAACAAAATTACAAATTTGTAAAGAGTTGAATGCCTGCATTTGAAAATGTAAAATATTCATATGCAATACTGCATATACACCTTACTATAAGGCTTTCATTTTTATAATGCAAAATGTGCTTGAAAAAAATCTGTTCTATTTTTTTAAATGTATTTAAATGGTGTGTTTGTTTGGAGGGCACATTTAGAGCAGTTTGATTTATTTAATTTAACGCTCTCCTTTTCTTTTGTACTTGATCATTATTTGTGTAAAGTCACTTTATATTTTTTATTTTACTTTTTACAATTAATTGTTTTTTTTCTTTGAAAAAAATGTGAAATAATGAGGCTCATGAGGGTCCTTTTTAGCACAAAAACCAATACAAGATAGATGAATAGTGCTATATAAAGTCCAATTGCATACGTCATGGCGTTTTCCCAATTCTTCTGAAAGCCTTTCTCCTGTCAGGTGAAAAGCAGTGCTAAAATCATTGTTTCATTCCATTGGCTAGAATATTAATGAACACTCAAGTGATAAATGTGCCTATCATTTAGGCATGCTTAGGAATGTTTACATGTGTTTAGGCGGATTGGGCATATTTTTCTGACCAAGCTTTCCTCTCCTGAATGCGATTGGTGCAGTCATATTTCTGCCCCTAAGCACTCTTACCTCTAAACGCCTGTAAACGCCTATGTGTGCATGGACACATATGGGAAGAATTACAAAAACTGGAGAGTGCAAAATCAAGTGCAGCTCTGCATAGAAACAAATCAGCTTCCAGATTTATTGTCACAGCTTAACTGAACAAGCTGAAGTTAGAAGCTGATTGGCTACAATGCGCAGCTATACCAGATTTTGCACTCTCTGCTTTTAGTAAATCTCCTCCATTGGCTAAACTAGAGGAGCGTTTAGAGGCAGATAAAAAGTCAAATGTTCGTTATTTAGCTGCAGTGTGCATGAGGCCTTTAAAACCAGCAAAAACACCTTAATTTTGTCTTCCGCATTGACTACAAAGTGATTTACAGAGATGTCAAAATTTTGCCAGAGCCTTCCAATTTTCACAGAAATTTCAGAGAAAACAAAACTCTCAGACTTGCTTACTCGTAATACCCATCCAATCCACTTTTTTAGGTAAGAAAATATCCCCCACATCATTACACCCCCACTAGCCTGAACCGTTGATACAAGGCAAGATGGATCCATGCTTTCATGTTGTTTACGTCAAAAATTCTGACCCTACCATCTGAATGTCATAGCTGAACCAGTCTGCCCATTCTCCTCTGAACTTTGACATCAACAAGGCAGTTTCGTCCACACAACTGCCACTCACTGGATATTTTCTATTTTTCGGACCATTCTCGGTAAACCCAAGAGATGGTTGTGTGTGAAAATCCCAGTAGATCATCAGTTTTTAACCTCCGTAACGGTATTCCCGAGTGTAGCTTGGGGTAAAATGACTGTACCAAAAGCGGTAACCCCCTCGGGCTTAGCATGCGGCGCTGCATAGGGAGTCCC